AAAAAAAAAAAATAGTCTGCAATTTCCTGATCAACCCTAATGAGGTAATCTGTCTGATAAACCCCACTGCCTTCTCCTACAGGAAAGTGTCCTTGCCTGAAATGATCCACTCTTTCATTTTCTTAGTCCCACCCTCTTTCTGCCTATAAAATCCTTCCATTTTGTACAACTCATCAGAGTTGCTTTCTAGTTGCTAGATGGGACTCTGCCCTATTTATGAACCACTTAATTAAAGCCAATTAGGTTTTTAAATTTGAATTTGGAAGTAACATTCTTATAGAGATGATAGGATCATCAAGCTAACATAGCTGGAACAAACACATCAATCATTAAGAGCATCCATTACTTTACTATTTGAATTCCACTTTTACAAAAACAAGATTTGGATTGTAATTTAGCTTTCCATTAGAGCTTTCTATGTGGAAGAGGCTGTGCTGCCCTCATCCTAACTATGTTTAAGACCATTTGACACTTCACATATCTTATTGGAAATTAGAAAATTAACATTGTTTTATTAGTTTATCATGACTAACTATATGCCCTATGTAACTGTTATTTTTATAGTTTTGTCTGCCTAAAAAGCACTCATCTTCTGTAGAAATGTTCCTATGATTTTGGTAGGAGAGCTGCCAATGATAAACTTCACTATCTTAGTTAGCTAAGGAAGCAGGTATATGACCTAGCCTGGGCCCTTCATTCTATTCACCCCTTCCTGGTTATAGTGACTGATCCAAAGGATGGGCACATGACCTAAGCTGGGCCAGTCCTCTAGACTTTAAACAATAAAGCTTGAAGAGAGGTGCTTTTTTCCTCAATGTGCAGGCTCCGTAAAAGTGTGAACCTGGAGCAGATGATGGCCAAACTCCATACCGGTGGAGAAGCCCAAGAAAAAGCAGAGACCCTGAGATAAAGCAGAGAAAAGCACTGATGAGAGACAGAGTCAGTTCTGATGCATTATAATACTATCTAGTCGAGTCCCTAAGCTGCAACCCTAGCTTTCTGGATTTAGTGACTTTTCTTTTTGCTTAAACTAGTATGAGTTTTGCAACAAAAACAGAAGAAACATCCAATGCTATGAAATAAGAAACAAATTGGCTTTCAGTAGATAATATTTTGTATCATTATCTACTAGGCTTTAAGCATTACTTCTGTCCCTCACAAGAAAGAAGTTATATTTTCCCAGTAATATTTTATAATTTTTGCAGGGGTAAGACATATTATACACACAATAAAAGAATAAATGTCAAGTCTGTAAACATTTTAAACTAGAACTTTTAAGATTAGAGCAGCGAAGAATTGAGTTGTATTAAAAAGAACAATGAATTAAAAATCATCAGAACAAAGTCCTCACTGTAGTTTGTGCTACTGTTGTAACCTTGGCACATTCCTTATTCTCAGTAAACTACAACTTCTCCACCTGAAAATTGGGAGTACTCTATGTTATTCCTAAGATTGCTCCCTGTGCTGAAATTACTGAATAATTTTGAGAATATAAAAGCATACTCACTATTCTATATTAAACAAAGAACAAAGTATAAATTCATTTAACTAACATTTAACTGTTTTTTTCCTATTTGAGTTTACTCTGAAAACATATGCAATTCTCATGGATCACTACCACAAGCAAAAAGACCCCCTCCAAACAAAAAAATGAGAACCCCAAATGAAGATATTCAGTAGAATGAATATTTGTTATAAATCGAATGGTCTCTTAAAAATAGAGCTTTCTTTTTCCAATTAATTTTTAAGATGTTTAAAACTAGAAATTTTAGATGTCTTTCTTTCTTGATCCTGCTAAAACATAACTGAGTATTCTTGTCCTAATACTAATTTAGACTTTAGAAAATTCTAATTTAATTGTCTGCAATACCCTAAAGTATTTTAAACTTGCAATAGAGAAAACTCCATAAAAACGTTATACAGGAAAGAAGGTGGGTTAAAAAGAACCCCAAATTAGAAATCAGGAGACCAAGTTATAAAGAACTTTCTTATTATTAACTTCCTTCCAAAAGGCAAGATTTCTGATTTATGTTTTCAGATTCAAATGAGCTAGCTTTGTGGCATTTTATTCTGCTGGTCATAGCTTTGCCTCAAAAAAAAACCAAAAAACGCCTCCCAAAACAAAACAACTACTTTGGGAAACTTCGAAAGCGCATTTGGAAGTTCAGGCCACGGGTCTATTCCACATGTGGGCCCATGTGTCCCACAGGTGAATCAATGACAGCAAAGATATCCCTCAAATTGAGATGAAAAATATTACCCTGGTATTGCTCTAACAATAAAAAGGGAGCCTTACTCCAAGTCCTCGACGCGGACCAAGCGGCGAAAAGACTGCTTTTTGCTGTCTCTTTAAATTAAGTAGACCAGACTCAGCCCCAGACGCCTCGGGAGGGGAAGAGGAACTCTGAATGAGGGTAAGAGCCCACAACCCCCAGAGCGGGAGGCCCCACCCCGAGGTCCCGGGACGCCCTCAAGAGGCAACGGGGGCTCTGTTAGAGCTGCAGGCTTGGACGGTTGGGGCCTGGGGTCGCTTCTCGGCCGAGAAGCCCCAAGGGGAGGCCTGTGCGTGGCAGTCACTGAGCAGACTCACCTCGGCGTCTTCTTTGCACTGTGGGAGCGAGGGGAACTCCAGCTTCACGTCCTCCATGATCCCGGCCGGCGGGCTGGTGGGTGGGGTGGGAGTAGGAGTTATTCGCCAGCCCGACCCTCGGGCTGGCAGTGGCTGTGAAAGGAAGGAGGGCCGGTAGACCCTCGGGCTGACGGACGGGCAGCGGGCTTACAATTAACACACGCAGACCAAAGGGTCCCAGCGACTCCGGCGGCGGCGGCGACAGCGAGGATGAGGAACGTTGGGCGGCTCATACCCGGCCGCCATGCTACTGCCGTCTCCCTCCCCTCCGAATCTCCAGCGCCCCTCAGGCCGCCCAGGCTCGGGCACAAGCACGAGCCCTACAACCGTCTCCCCTCCTACCCCCACGCTCACCGCGCCACTCCAGCCAATCCCACCCCACGCTCGCCTTTGGCCCGCCCCGCCCCGCGGCCGCCAGGTGTCAGCGCGCAGCCGCCCCGCCCCTTAGCGAGAGCGCAGACGCAGGGGGTGGGGCCTCGGAGGCGCCTCGGCCGGAGCTCACCGGCTGTGGAGGAGGTGGGGCTGCAGTAGGCGGGAGGGAACGACTGAAGGTCCTGGGAAAGGCAGTGGGACTATCCAAACCAGCTCTGCTCTTTCCAGATAGACGCAAATCTCCTTTGGCATAAGAATGGGCAAAACATCCTAAACCACGAGTAGTTGGTATCCAAAAAGAAGACCATAGTTTCCTCTCAGAATCCTGCGCAATCTGTGGCGAGGTTATAACCAAAGGAGAAATAAATGAAGCGTTCATCTTAAAATTGTTATGCTACACAGAAAATGAAGCACCCATCACTTTTAAGCAAATTGAAACGGTGGACTTGGGTATGACAACTAGAAAATCTCACGAAATGGCAAAGAGAAAAACTAAGAAATAGAAAAAATCGATCGCTCACTCAGTCAATTGTACACAATACTGAAGAAAGGTGTCTTCTTTAATTCGAAGTTTAGTATTTCAACATGTTAAACGACATGGCTTTCAGTATCTTTTAAAAATGAATCAGTACTATATTGTTAATAAAGTTTAGGTATATACATTCTCTGGGTCTAGGGAGATACTATTATCCTTTTTGTTTTTAAACAGATGAGAAAAATCAAGCTTAGAAGTGGAAGAACCCACACTTAAAAGTTTGTACATCAAACTGATTCTTGAAAAAATAACCACCACCAAAGTAAACAGGCAAGAAAGTCCTTTATTAATTAAAGTTATTTGCAAATTACAATAGGGAAGTAAAAAGAATCACATGGATATTTTACATAGATCCCCCCAACACACAAACATTCCATTTTTTATATTGTCACATTTATGAAATGCACTGCCAACATATATAGAAATGGAACTGTTCAATAACTTGAGTATTAGATGGCGAGCTTGAGTGAACCATTTTTTCTACCACTATGTAATCTGTTCTCTATCTTTTAAAGTTATAAAAAGAGCACACTATATACTCTGTAAGTTCTTAATTTGAAGAATGATTTTACAGTTACCCAGGTCATATATTTTTAGTGTTTATGAAACTGAAGTCAAGTTTCTTTTTAATAACACCTCTAATAAGATAATCTCAATTGATGCCCAATGATGATTTCCTATTATAGTTGTTAAAACTTTAATTGCCACATGATATGAGAAAGAATTGTGTACAGGTAGCAGAACTTTTGTTTTGAACATTTCTGACATCAACATCCCCTACATCAGACACTCTTAGTCTGGTATCCATAGGTACCTACAGAGTCCATGAGTGAGCTTGGGAAAGAATAAACCTCCTTAACTTTTAGTATATGCAAAATTATATATATATATATATGTACATATGGATTTTTCTGGGAAGAGGGTCCAGACCTGAACATTCTCAAAAGGGAACTATCATCTCACATAACTTAGGAAAAGCAAATCATATTTATAGCAAATATTACTTTCAATCATAATCTAAAAAAAGATTATGGATGCGCACGTACTATTTCAATTAATATTACACAGCCTAATCATAGTAGGTGAAGAGTAAATAAAGACTTTCTGGAAGGAGGAATATCTAGATGTAAACATAAACACACATATGTTAAATATAACATAGATGGTATATATGCTGTTATGAAACACTGTGGGTACTGTTTTAAAATAAAATTCAAAAGCCGACAATCTAAACACAACTTCATCTTGGTTATTAGTTTACTTACTAAAAACCTAAAGAACTATAGTCAATGTATTCTTACAAAAGACAAGAATATATGTAGAACTGAATCAAACAGATTTTATTCAACTTTTTTAGGATGAGGAAAACAAATGATATAAAATAAGTCATAAGAAATGCTCCTTTAAACTACTATCTCAAACCATTTCAATGTTTTACAAAATGCTCACACGGGAAATATGAAAAGCTACAACATACTTTTTTTTATATCTTCTGCTGCCATAAATGCAACATTAACAAATATACAAATTTCTTCTCTACCAATCTTAAAAGTAGAATTACTGAATTACTAATTTTATGATGTTATTCATACACATTTATTCATACTCTTTTAATGAGATCATTGCCAATACATACATTATTTTCCTTAACTTTGTTTTTATATTAAGCCAATATCTGTCATGCATCTATCAAAATCCTTACGGTAAATTACACAGGTTTGTAGTCCAATTTAGACTCTAGCTTCTTAGAATCAGCCACTTTTCTGACTGCTTTCATGAAGTCTTCCTGTACTACAAAATCATGATCAGCACGAATTGCAAACATACCTGTGGAGAACAAAACATGACTGCTACATATAATATGTGAATTATTTGTTTATTATAAGAAAACTAAATAATGTAGAGTAAGTGTGAAGGAGCCCAGATTTACTACTTCTGAACCAGTAATTCTGATTTGTTAAAAATCACTATCATTGTTCAATAAATTCCCATAGCTATTGTGAGCATTATTTTCCAAATGATAAGCTAGAAAACTCAATGAGACAATTATCTGAATATTTGAAGTCCAGCTCATACAGTCCCTGTATCCAATGGCATTTTGAAAAACCAAACCAAACCACACCCAACTATCAACAAAATACACACATTTAAGCAGTAGTTTCTTAATTCTACTGGAAGCAATTCCCTTGGAAGGAAGAAGCACATGTATGGTTTGAGAAAACACAAAACACTTCGTTATTTTGATAGCTGTTACTTGTTAATAATCAAAAGCTTAGAGTAGATTTTAAAAAGCCAAGAGTGGGCTTTAGCAAAACTCAGTGCCATTACTCACATATTAAAATTGTCCTATTTATGTACAAATTGATATTTTTATGACTTTCATAATTCAAGTATCACAATTCAATTTTTTCTTTCAAGTTTTTGACAAGTTACTTGTCAAATACTAATTGACAAAGGGATAAGAGTTTTTGGTTTGTGTTTTTTCTTTACAACATTATGTAGTTTTATCATGGATATAGGTCCCAGGTTTTGAGAAGATCCTATATTTCATGATAAGCTAACGCTGTAAGTTATCACTATCAACTAATTAAATGAATCCTGCAAATATTTTCATTGAGGATCTGCTTATACTGAATTTTCACTTATGTAAAATGAGTGGGTTTGAGTAGAAGAGTTCAAAGGTTACTTCCTATCTTCCCTTTCAAGATTTCTAATTAATAAAGAGTCTTGAAAATAGCCACTCTATGTTGTCCTCAGAAATCAGGTGAATGGAAATGAGTTTTTAAATACTGAAGCTTTAAAATTTGTTTAGAATGCTACAACTAAATTAGTTAAGTTATTTTTCCAAACCTTGTGCATATGACTGTTCCCAAATCATTGTTTAGTGAATGAGTGAATCTGATATACATTCTAATCCAAAAATAATGAAAATCTCTGGATTTGAATGGAAAAAGACAACTATAACTGAATCTAGTGTATTTTAACTTACAGAAAGATGTTAACAAAAAAAGCTTGAAGTCTAATAAAAAGAAAACCAAAGAATTTCAGTATGTCTCTAGATGTGAATGCCCCACCCAGTTAAAAAGCTAAAATTTTAATCCACACAGAAGTTATAGCTCTTCATTGGAAATAGCTAAAAATAAATTATTTTAAATATGTGAAAAATAAGGAGACTCATAATTTGATGTTATCAGCTTTTAAGATTATGACACTGTTTTGTTTAAGGATTCCAGTTTCACTAAAGCAATCTTTTGATAATAATTTGGTCCAGTGTAGATTTTGGAAGAGAATGTCATAAATTACTCTGAGTAGTTCAAGCCACATGACAGTGTAACCCTTAATATTTTTCTTCGTTAGTAAGTCTTTGTGAGCATGATTTACTCTGATTTGTACTGAGTTTCTAGACCTGCAGATCTTTTGATTCAGATGCTGAGTCACAGTGTGCCCCCAAAGATACTCCTAAGGAAAAGCCATGCCTGAGGAGCCTCTTTAAATATTGTCTGTTGAATTTATAAGAAATGTTAATATAAGGCCAAAGATGATATGGAAAAAGAGAGGAAATCACCTATCATAACACCGTAGAAATTAGTTTTTTCAATTTTAAGATTCTGTGTAAAGGACAACGACTAAATGACTCTATGTAGGGTTTTAAAGCCACTTGGCACTAGAAATAAAAATAGAATCACACAACCCACAGAGAAAATTATATTAAAAAACTATTACATTTTACACAAGTTGCATGATCACAAATTCATAAATCAATCTTTGAAAGCTTACTGCTGACAGATTAGTAGCAGAAAACATGTCATCTACTTTGCAGCAGATTCCTCTGGTGTTGACCCAATCTCCTTTCAGCCATGGGTATGGCACAGTTCTGTACAGTCCCAGTCTAACTTCAGGGGGCCAGTATCCTATTACATGTGTGTCTTTGCACATTCTGCTCTAAGGAATCCAGAGTGCAAAGGAGTTAACATACCCAAGGGCATATCTCATTTAAGGGGAGATGAGAGCTGATAAATGAATGCCAGTCTCCCATGTTCCAGCCGGGTCATTCTAGAAGGCATTCTGTATGTTTCTCTGAGGGTCTCATCAGAAATCAAATCCCCCTTATCATAGCTTTCCCTTTTTCCATCTCACATGTCCCATCTTGGAATCATTCCCAAAAAAACAATCACCCAAATCCTTGCAAAGCCCAGACTCTGCTTTTGGACAAACAACATATTTTTAGCAAATTAAACAAATCAAAATCAATAGCAAAAACTGTACTGAAAAAACCATACCTGCTTCAGTACAAACATTTCTCAGGTCTGCTCCATTAAAGCCATCTGAAAGCTTCACAATTGCTTCATAATCTGTTTAGGAAAAAAAACTGGAAGTTAGGGGGAAAAAAGACCTTTTCTTGATTTATGCCCAAATAGAAAATTTAAACTGA